ACCACTAACACCTTTATAAAAATGGCTAATATTAAAAAGAGAAAAAAATCTGACAATATCAACTGCTTGCAATGATGCAGAGCTACTGGAACTTATACATTATTGGTGGAAATACAAAACATCACAGCTACTTTAGAAAACAGTTTGGCAGTTTCTAATATAGACATACACTTACCCAAAACCCAGATATCCCATTCCTTGGGTACTTACCCAAGAGAAATGAAACTCATGTACAAAGATCTGTTCTGGAATGTTTATAACAACTTTAATCATAATCAGCATAAACTATAAATCTACTGGTGAGTGGATACAGAAATTGTAAAATAACAGAATACCTGTAAGCTATAATAAAGAATAAACTACTAATACATGCACCAACATGGGTAAATATCAGAAATGTTATGCTAAGTGAAAGAAGCCAGGGGCAAAAGGCTAGATATTGTATGATTCCATTTATATGACATTCTGGAAAATGAAAAACTATAGGGACAGGAATCAGACCAGTGGTTGCTAGGAATTGGGGTTGAGAGAGAGTACTGACTACAGTCAGGCAAGAAGGAACATTTTGGAGTTATGGAAATATTCTATACCTTGACTGTACTGGTTATTACATGACTGTATATGTTTGTCAAAACTCATAAAATTATATACCTAAAAAAGTGAATTTAACTCTATGTAAATTATACCTTAATAAACCTAAGTCTTAAACAGGCATCCAATCAGAATATGACCTATCTAAGAAGTTGAAATTTTACAGTAGAGTAATGGGGATACACACAGGAATTTTGTTTCTACTTTTGGCCAATGATTGCCAAAGGAGGTTGTGAGTTCCGCTGGTATGTGTAAAAATATCCTCTGGAGTGTACAAAGAATATATTAGATATTCAATTTGTTTAACTTCTTTATAAATTTTTTGTTATGCTTAGCATCTTTATTTTTTAATTTTTATTTTATATTGGAGTATAGTTGATTTACAATGTTGTATTAGTTTCAGGTGTATAGTAAAGTGATTCAGTTATACATACACATATATCCATTCTATTTCAGATCCTTTCCCCATATAGGTTATTACAGAATATTGAGTAGAGTTACCTGTGCTATACAGTAGATCCTTGTTGATTACCTATTTTATATATAGTAGTATGTATATGTTAATCCCAAACTCCTAATTAGCCCCTTCCCCCCACCTTTCCCCTTTGGTAACCATAAATTTGTTTTCTGTGTCTGTGAGTCTGTTTCTGTTTTGTAAATAAGTTCATCTGTATCTTTTTTTAGATTCTACATATAAGTGATATCATATGACACTTGTCTTCCTCTGTCTGACTTATTTCACTCAGTATGACCATCTCTAGGTCCATCCATGTTGCTGAAAATGGCATTATTTTGTTCGTTTTTATGGCTGAGTAGTATTCAACTGTATATATGTACCACATCTTCTTTATCCATTCCTCTGGTGATGGACATTTAGGTTGCTTCCATGTTTTAACTAACTCTTATTAACTTCTACTTCTGAATTTGTTTTAAAAATGTTGCGGGGGGCACCTAAGAACCTGACTTTTGATGCGTGCCATTCAACCTTATGAGTAGAAGGACAGGAAGGAGCAGAAGTCAAAGCGCTATAATCTGGAGACAGAGATCTGGTTAAGAATATGTCCCCAGTAAGAAAGTAGAAGCCAAATAACATAAGAGATACAGAATGGTTATAGAATAAACAAATGTCAATATTTTTAGTGTGTGAGGGCCACATAAAAGAGTAGAAATGGTCCATTTAGAATACTCCCAAAAACCACAAGGGGGCCATAAGCATAGTTAAAGAAAGAAATTTTATTTTCTTAATGGATATTCGAAATATTCAATGACCCCTAAGGCACAGGCACAAACAGTTGAAACTGTCTGTAAACAAAGTTAAGATCTTATTATTAATGTTCACTGGCCGAATGTCAGCCCACCTAAAGCAGAAGAGTATCAGAAGAAAACTTACTAAGGATGAGCATTCCAGGTAAGAAAAAGGCAAGCCAGATAGTGAATCACTGCCAGGGCCAAAGGGACACAATAATCTCTGGTCAAATGCATGTAAACATGATTGGGAAAAAAGAAAAAAAAACAACAACCAACCAACCAGTGACCTAGAGGTCACAAGAAGATAAACCTGCCATATTTGGAGATTTTTGTATTTCCCAAGTAATGCTAAAACCTACACAGTGTCCATGGATGAAGCTGCTAGGAATTCAAGAGTCAGGATGATGGAATGGGAAACATTAAAAGAAATAAAATGAAAGGAAGGTTGATGAGGACCCCACAACGTCATCATCACAGCACATAGCAAATAAAACTTTATTACAGGGCTTCCCTGGTGGTGCAGTGGTTGAGAATCCGCCTGCCAATGCAGGGGACACAGGTTCAAGCCCTGGTCCGGGAAGCTCCCACATGCCACGGAGCAACTAAGCCTGTGAGCCACAACTATTGGGCCTGTACTCTAGAGCCGGCGAGCCACAACTACTGAGCCCATGTGCTGCAACTACTGAAGCCTGCGTGCCTAGAGCCCATGCTCCGCAACAAGAGAAGCCACCGCAATGAGAAGCCTGCGCACTGCAACGAAGAGTAGCCCCCGCTCGCTGCAACTAGAGAAAGCCCATGCACAGCAACAAAGACCCAACGCAGCCAAAAATAAATAAGTAAAATAAATAAATTTATAAAAAAGAATAAACTTAAAAATAAAACTTTATTACACTCTGAGTATTCAAGTAGATAGACTAGGTTGTAGTGTTCTTCAGAGGATCATCAAGCAGAGAAAGACCTTCATTGTATCTGCCTTGGGGAATTTAAAGATAAAGGGAATCCCTTTCTCACTGCACCCTCCACCTCCACCAGCTTTTGAGACACCCAGAGGAAAAGAAAGATCCACGCTGGACCAAAATTATTCCTGTGAGCACTCTGAATAAAGGTACTTATCAGTTCTTTAGTGAGGAAATATGAGAGACTGTTAAAGATATACTGTCTGAATTTCAGAATTTCTCAGACAAGCTTTATGCCAAGCTTGTTATGTGTTAGAAGTTCTCAAACAGATATTCAGACATGGGTTTCTGACTGAGTTCTAACTTTAATAGCTCACTAAAGGGACCACTGGAGCTACCAGATATCAAAATATATTACAAGGTTAAAATAATTTTTAAAAGTTCAGTAACAGTCTAAGCGTGTAGCAAGGAGTAGATATGAACATAAGAAGGAAGGGGAAAAGAAGAAAAGATTTCAAAATGAGCCATTGAAGATGTGAATGTGCATGTGATTGATTGGTACATCTAGATATAGACTGGGAATCAACCAGTGAACTCCAAATCATCTAGAAAAATCCTTAGGTCATTGGTCTGTATATGACTGCCTGGTTAACCACAAACACAGAGATTTTACAGGCATCTATTTGCCTTAGGGCTACTAAGCAGTTTCCCCCTTCTGTGCTCATACATATCCTCCTGAAAACTTGCAAGGAAGCTTGAATAAACAATTCTGAATGAGCAACACTCAAAGAAACGGGAAAGAGAAAAGAGAATAAGCAAAGGGATTTCTCTGTCAAAGGAGAAGAAAGGTGGAAAATAAAAATGGAGAAGACAGACAAAAAGATGAATAAATACTGGGCACCAAAGAAACATACTGTGGTTGGGGAAATATATTTAAAAATACAAGAAAAGAGGGCTTCCCTGGTGGCGCAGTGGTTGAGAGTCCGCCTGCCGATGCAGGGGACACGGGTTCGTGCCCCGGTCCGGGAAGATCCCACATGCCGCGGAGCGGCTGGGCCCGTGAGCCATGGCCTCTGAGCCTGCGCACCCAGAGCCTGTGCTCCGCAATGGGAGAGGCCACAACAGGGAGAGGCCTGCGTACCACACACACACACACACACACACACACACACACACATATATATATACAAGGAAAGAGAAATAGTTCTATAATGCCCCTGTATGTAGGCCTATTATAACTATTAAATATAAGGAATGAATGAGCGTGTGTATGGTGGGAGCTTCAGAAAGGGGAGTGTTGAGGAATGAAATGCATCAGGGACACCATTGCTATTATTGGGTGTTTTGGTATTTTGGGGCCTCCTGAGGTTAATTCTAGGGTGATCTTTTAAACTTTTAAAGTTATCAGTGCTGCCCTATCTAGGCAGCAAGATACAGATACTGGGGTTTGTGTCTCTTGGATTCAGACAACAACACAATGACCTCATTAAGAGGATGAGCTTAGGAGTCAGATATTTGGAATGGCTGTCATGGCTACTTATTGGATAGGGTAGTTTTTTTTTTACATGTTTATTGGAGTATAATTGCTTTACAATGGTGTGTTAGTTTCTGCTTTATAACAAAGTGGATCAGTTATACATATACATATGTTCCCATATCTCTTCCCTCTTGCGTCTCCCTCCGGCTAGGGTAGTTTTCAAGGATTTATTGAGAGTCAGGCAGTTGGCTGGGACCTGCAAGTCTTCCAAAAGTAGACATCATCATACTCATTTGCATAACTTCTTTTTATTTTTTAAAGAAGATTTCTGCTTTATCTTCAAAGCACAGAAATATACTACCAAGTGGCGATCACAGCCAGTGGCTCTCCTTAGATGGCCAGTGCGGGCCTTGGGGCACAGAAGGGCAGTGCAACCTGGACTGGGGCTGCGTCCTGTGTCTTCTGTATTATTTCTTCATAGGAGCTTAACACATTTAATTCTTTTCTGCTTAGAATCCGTGGTTTTCATTTAAAAAGTATGGTCACTGGACCAGAATCGAAACAAATTGCATCTCCCTCCCAAGAGGGAGGAGATATGGGGATATATGTATATGTATAGCTGATTCACTTTGTTATAAAGCAGAAACTAACACACCATCATAAAGCAATTATACTCCAATAAAGATGTTAAATAAATAAAAAATAAATTCATCTTTTCCAAAAAAAAAAAATTGCACTCCATATTCTCAATTTAACCATGTTTTAACATGAGACGGGAAGAGTCTTACCCAATGTCACGTGGATCGTGCAGGATCTGGCCCTGTGACCCGGTTGTTTTTATTCTCACTCCAACTGCTTGTCCAGCAGAGCCTTCTCCCTGCTCGGCACTTTTGTGGTCATGCTGCCTTTCTGAGGCTCAACTGGCATCACATGCAGATTCCCCAGGTTGTGTACATCTCTGATATTAACCTAAGCTGTCCAAAAGGAGACAGGGAATCAAACCAATTAAATGGAAAAGGCGTAAAGAAGCTTCCCTACCAAAACTTTAGCAGGAATATCATTCTGAAACACAGGAATGAGATGAAATCTCATGTGTGATGTAGATGCCTTATTTTCCTTCTTGTTCATGTTATTTGAAATGTTCTTTGTGACACAGTTATGTTATTAGGTTCATGCTAAAATCATCCCTCTAGTGAAAAGTATGCTTTGGTGACTGGAAAGAACGGAAATAACAATTGACTTGTTTCTTCTATAGGCCAAATCTGTGTAGCTTTGTTTTCAAAATGTTTCTGTTTGGGTCCCCACATCAGTCCTCATATAGGGCTTTTTTTTCTAGGCATGTACAATTTTTTCAATGGAACTACAATCACATTCTACATGTTGTCTGATAGTCTGCTAACATAAAGTACATTTCATGGCATTGTTTCCTTACTTCATAAAAATAGTTGCCTAGAGAAAACATGGAAAACCCTACAAGCGCCATCTTGTGACCAGTACCAGAGCTGCATTCCGTGATCCTTCTTAAGGGAGAAGGGTGGGAACTTACATCCTGGCAAGCCAGCAACTTTCTCAGGCTTCTAGAATATACCATACTCAAATTTAGAGTTTTGTTATGCATCACACAAAAAATGGAATGCTAATGTCTTTAGCTGCAATGGTCTGACAAAAAAATTGCATGCCTACTGAAAATTGAAAAGATAAGATTTTTAAAAAGAAAGTATAATTCTGGAAAAATGATCAATATTATTATTTCCTATCTTTCAATATTTTTCTTTACATATATACATGATACATATAACTTCAAACCAGCTTTTTACCGTGCTCAAGCGCACAGTTTGAAAGTTTTTCCATATTAATAAGTATTTTCAATGTGACTTTGTTTCAATCACTTCAAATGTAATTTTCCCCCTAATTTGTAACATTTTACCTCAAATTTTTTCTGATATTGTTAGGAAATGACTAAATATGCGTTAAGAATCATTTTAAAATAGAGATAGTAAGGACTGTCCTCTCACACTATACAAGTAATCCCATTTAGTGTAGGTACCCTTCTATTTTTTCTGATGTTGTTACACATATTGTATTAACACAGTCCTCTATCTTTAAATGACCTAATATGGTGTTTGCCATTCTTCAATTTGCATTTTTCAGCTAGTACTACTTCTCAGACATGTTTTCAAATCGCGACATTTTCATACTTTTGTCAGCTATTTAACGTTCAATTGTAGTTGTATGGATGCACCACGTCACATAATATTTTTAAAACTGCTAGTAGAAATAAACCAAATCCTCTCTCTGTCTCACTCTTAAACTTAAAAGATATAGAAAAATGGTTATTGCTGACTATGGCCATACCTGTGGTCTGAAAGAATGAGTTGCAAGGAGGACACAGGCAGGGCTGGAGCCAACACAGCAACCAGGCTACGCGCTTGATCAGGTCCAGGAAAATTTCCACTATCGGCAAAAGACTGGTGGGGGGGAGTGGTATGTCTGAATGTCTGTGTTTGTCTGTGAATGCTTATGTGTCTAAAACCAAATGGATACAATTTGTTTCAGCTTCATTTTGCTCTACTAATTATAAAAATTATCATGGAATAAAACAGTTCTAAAAATGTTGAAAACTGGTTAAAATATATTTTGAAATCCCCAGAAGTCTGAACACTCCAGAGATGCTGACTATTAACATGGGAATCTAGTTCCCTCTGTAAGAAAAATGCACATATTTTTTTACGAATGTTATCACTCAACAGCATATCTGAATCCCTTCCACGTTCGTTGTACATTTATATTTGTGGTTGTATGTGCCAAGCACTTTTTATGGTTACATTTTTCTATCAGTTATGTTTTGTAGAATAATAAATGTTTAAATATAATAAAATCTGTAACGAAGATAGAAACATGGAATGCCATGTAAACAATTAACATGAACAGCATGCCTCACTTAAGTCTTAATTTAGATGCTGTAATCTGATCGCCCATTCCCACACTGTGGACTTCAAAAAATATCGGGAGAAACTGAATTTTCCAGGGGACTGATTCTGTCACAGTAACAGGAATTTCCCCCACACTATATTCTATTCCCATCTCTCCCAGGCAACAGTCTCTATTTTTTTCACCGTAACACTAAAGCCCGAAGAAATTCCCAGAAAAAAACTAGCTTTAAGACAGCCATTACCTTGAAGCTTCTTGTCAGCTGCAGCCTCGTGAAATGTAGCCCCTCCCCCAAGAGTGGCCAGGCACAGCTCACATCCAAGCTTCTCAGAGGATGCTCCGCCCCCTCCCTGTGATGGGGAAAGCAGGGGGCCTTTCCCTCAATTAGAGGGAGGAGAATCGCCAAGTAAACTGAAATTCACTTAAAGGGGAAAAACGTTCATTTTTAAAGGACTTTAAAGAGAAATGGCAACATGTGTCTCTTTCATTTCCATTCAAACCACAGGGGTAGGTGATTTCCTGAAGAGAAATAGCAAATCTCTTTATCATACAGTAAAGACCCAGTTGAAAATATCTCTTACATATTTTTCTTGCCTTTTCTGGTAACATTTCTATATTTTAAGACTCAGCTGGTCAAGGTCCACTAAAAGACTACACAAAAGTCCTTGTTTGTGATTGCAGTGAATTAATACACTATTTTGTGGAGAATTAAATCTCTACAATTTTAATTCTTCTGGCCCTGGGACATGATATGTCTCTTTTGTACTCAGTTTGTCTCCTTCATCCTTCAGAAAGTTTCAGTTTTTTTCAAGTAAAGTCATTTTTTAAAACACAAAACATCAACCACAATCCTTAATGAAGAGAGATATGAGAGATATGTAACTGAATATACTAAAACTGAAAAAAGAACTACTTATGGTAAAAAAACACTATAAAGCAAAGTTGAAAACATAAGAATAAACTTGACAAACTGTTTTTCATTCAAAAAACAGCTCTAAAGTAGCTCTTACAAATTAATAAGGAAAAAAAGTGAGGTAAAAAAAATGAGCAAGGGACAAAAATAGACAATTCACAATATTCTGAGGGAAAAATTTTTACCCACTCCCAACATTTACTTTCCTGTGAGCAAGCTCATGCAGTGCAACTACATCTCTGCAAGGGTATCTCTGTCCTTCTTGTACAGTTGCAAACCTCCAGGCTGTTTGGTAAAATTGTTAAAATTTGTTGTTTTAAAGCCCGCTTGACTCACAATAATCAATGCCCTGCAACTTACCTTCGCCTTGTACTAAAGTTGACGTTTAGGCTTCCATCTGCAACTTCATTTGTTTTATATCAGTTTGTTCAATTTTTTCAGTGTAGAAAAGGAGGTGCTATTCAGTGGGGGTCCTCAAAACCCAAACATCCAAAATAAAAATTAAAACTAAACAATCCATAAAGGCACTCACCTCCCCTAATAAAGAGATGCAAACATAGACAGCAATGAGATTTCACTTTTCTACCTAATTTGACTTATAATGAGGCCAAAAAATGATACAATGGAGAGTTGACAAGAGAGTGAGGAAATGGGCACTCTTGCTCACGAGCAAGGTCACAAAGCTGGGAAGATGGCAAAACGAAATCAAAGTCAAAGGCTTATCAGAATCCCAAACAGAAAGATGTGTTCTCTCTCCACCAGTACTCACTGCCTCCTGGGCTTGGAATCCTGTCTCTTGAGTAGAACCAAGGATGATGTCATTCACCTTCAGATTGTAGGGGAATTAGTCAATGTAACCTCCAGTGAGTGTCAACCTATGTCCTTCCTGGTGAACACACTGGTGAACCACAATAATTTTCAATAATTACCGTACTTATCTATAACTCTCCACCTCTCACACAAATTAAAAAATATATTTCTGCACTATGCTCTTGCACTGACCATATCTGCATTATAGTTTCACTTAGCCATAGAGTAGTTACGATCTGTCTCTTTTGTGTTGCAGGGTCCTGGCAGTACAACGACTGAAAATAATTTGTTATGCAGGGAAATGCCCATTTCATCCTATCCTCATTTACAACTGGCAACTTCTTGTTCTTGTGCTTTTGTTGTTTGCAATTTCTAATTCAATATCCTCTTTTATTGAGCTTTTCTGTTCACAAAATATTCAAGAAATTAAGAGTTAAATTTAGAGTTTTATTGCCTTTAACCTAGGGGTGTTGTTTCCCAGGAAGTGCCAAAACCTACATACTGCCAGTGGATCATTCTGAGGGTTAGTTCTCTTAAGAAAATGTTATGCTAATTCAAACACAAAAAATTATAAAGTGTAGGTAAAGTTGGTAAGGCCCTCACAACCCCATCCATCATCACAGTGAACAAGTAAACACAACTCCTGTCTCTTGCCACCTCTGACTAATTCACGTTAGAGAAACAGAGCTGCAGTATGACACAGCTCTTCCTGTGATTAACAAACACAGAGAAAGAAAACTGTCTGCATGAGGGTCTCTAAAGAAAGAAGCCATCATTCTTCCAGACACATATAGCAGAAGGGTCAGGCTGGATCAAAATTATTCTGTTAACCAATCTGAGTAAAGGACATTAAAATTTCTTTGGTGAGGAGATATGGATTTCTGTCTGTAGAACCCAATGTCTAGCCTTGGGTTTTGTCACAGAGGCATTATGACAGAGTTACGTTTTTGACATGTTCAAACAGGCAGGCAGGCAGGCAGACAGCTGTGGGTTTGAGACCTTTACTAGCTCAGTGGAGAGAAAAATTTCAAATCCTTGATAACTATGCTAACTTGTCATGTCCCCATACTAGATAGCACAGTTAAGAAACATGCATGACTCACAAGCATCTCTGACATTAACCTAGGGTGTCTAAATATTAAACCACATTTAACGGGACAATAATAAAAAAATAGTTTAGTAGCTGTCTAAGGTGTAGTGAGAGACGGATGAGACAGGAAGGAGGGAAAAGGGGGAAAAGAATTCCTAATTTAACCACAGGGAAACTGAATGTGCACATGTTCAGTTAGTGCACTGGGATATAGACAAGAACTCAATCAACAGATACACAATGTGCTGGAACATTCCTCAGGACCCTGGTCTGGTTCTAGCTGCCTGGTTTTCTAGAAAATCAGTGTTTATGAAGAGCCCTTAACTTTATTGCATTAGGGTTAGTAAACGGCTCTCATCTGCTGTAGCCTCTTCTTATCCTCTCAAACTTCACAAAGTAGCTCGACTAAAGTGTTTTCAATGGGCGATAACTGGATTAGACTGAAATACGGCAAAAAAGAAAAGGGATCAGATAAGAAGTTTACCCTCTTAAGCAGAAAGAACGTGAACAATGAGGATGGAGGCAAGATACGAATCAGAAAAATAAGTAGTGCATATCAGACAGAGGAGGTCGGAGACATGGACATCTTTTGGGGGAGGGGAAGGAAAACAGAGAAGAATTATGATAACACAAACCCAATATCACACCTTTATTATTTCTGTTGTACTGTAAGAACGGAATGCATGTGGGAGGGGCTTTGGAAGTGGCAGGAAAATTATTTGTGTTCCTGGATAATTTGGGCCTTTTAAATCCCACTTGGTTATCACGAGGGAATGTTGGGCTTTAATGTTTCCAAAGCTGCTAGTGCTGCCCTGTCTGTCCAAAGCAACCAAAGATCTCACGGACACAGATAGTGAGGTTCAGCATCAACAGCCTTATTCAAGAGAGTATGCAGACGTCTATTCAAGGAAGGCTGTGAGACCTTAAGCAGGTCTTAAGAAATACTTGTAACTATGCTATCTAGCATGTGGTGATGACAACCTAGCAAAGGTGTCAAGGATTGTAGAGTCAGGTCATTGGCTGGAACCTCTGGTAGACACCTGAATAGCCTCTTTCACTATTTCTTCATAGTGGTTTTAATACATGAGATATTTCCCCCAAAACTAGAAGCTATGACTTTTAATTACAAAACGTTATGGCTGCAAAACCAGGAGCAAATTGAATTGTATCTCAAATTCTCAACCTAACATGATTGTACTATGAAGTGTGACTTTTAAAATGCTATGGCTGCAAAGCAGGAAGCAAAATAAATTATACCCCAAGTTCTCAACATGTTTTTAATGTGAAATATTTCATGGGATGGGAAGAGCCTTACCCAATGTCATGTGGATAATGCAGGATCTGGCCCTGTGACCCGGTTGTTTTTATTCTCACTCCAACTGCTTGTCCAGCAGAGCCTTCTCCCTGCTCGGCACTTTTGTGGTCATGCTGCCTTTCTGAGGCTCAACTGGCATCACATGCAGATTCCCCAGGTTGTGTACATCTCTGATATTAACCTAAGCTGTCCAAAAGGAGACAGGGAATCAAACCAATTAAATGGAAAAGGCGTAAAGAAGCTTCCCTACCAAAACTTTAGCAGGCATGTCATTCTGAAACACAGGAATGAGATGAAATCTCATGTGTGATGTAGCTGCCTTATTTTCCTTCTTGTTCATGTTATTTGAAATGTTCTTTGTGACACAGTTATGTTATTAGGTTCATGCTAAAATCATCCCTCTAGTGAAAAGTATGCTTTGGGGACAGGAAAGAAGGGAAATAATTGCCTTGTGCCTTTCTACAGGCCAAATCTGTGTAGCTACTTTTTTTAATGCTTTCTGTTTGAACTCTCACATCAGTCTTTGTGTGTTTTTTAATTTTATACATGTGCAATTTTTCAACGAACCGCAGTCACACTCTACATACTGTCTCATAACCTGTCTCATAATAGAAAATACATTTCATTGCTTTGTCCACTTCATGAAAATGGTTGCCTGAATTTAGGACACCTGGCAAGCGCCATCTTGTGACTAGAACCAGAACTGCAGACACTCAGGTCTTTGGTCAGGAAGGGTGGGAACTAGAGCCATCCAGACAGTAGCCTTCTCAGGCTTCTAGACTTTTACATTAACTTAAGAGTTATGTGTGTATTATAGAAAAATGGGATCATATTTCCTCATTTTAACGTTTGCTATTATAATATCTTTCATGCATATTGTATCTTTCTTCATCTTTCAATTTTTCAAGAAAAAAAGCAAATCCCCACAATAATGTTCAAAATATAATGGTTTGCTCTATATATTAACAGATTTCTCTTATACATATTAATAAATGTGCATATTTTTTGAAATCAGACCTTTATCCCTCCTAAGAATATATTTTAACATCTTTCCACATCAATAAATATTTTCTACATCGTCTTTTTGTGAATAACTTTTCAAGACTCTTCTACATTTCTAAAATTTTTTCTCATTTTCTCACAATGAAAATTATTCAAGCTTACTGTTTTAAAAATAAGATTTAAAAATGGAGAAATGTAATATATAAAA